GGGTATCAATATATAGTTTTTTTAGCTAATTTTTACTAGAAATTATTCTTAATTTCTTTTCAAATGTGATTATATTTTTTATTTTTCTAATCTATCTTAATTTGCTCTATTTAAGGTCCTACAAAGTGAGTAGAAGCATATTTTGCAAAAAGGTAATATTAACCCCTTTAATTATTCTATCTCTTGATTATTATCTATTTTTTAAAGATAATTTTTTATAATATAATTAAAATAAGATCTTCAAAAATATGATATTTTCTTCACCCTTTCACCTATTAGTCATTTTACATCATGACAGCAGATGCCTATTGCAAAAAGCAATGACAATTCAAGACAGGTGACAAAGTATGGTTACTTCATTGTAATATTAAGACTAGTCGTCCTTGTGATAAGTTAGACTATTGTAGGCTAGGACCTTTTCCTATTTGTGAACAAATCAATCTTGTTTTTTATTGATTATATCTATCAGAGTCAATAAAGATCCACCTTATATTTGACGTGTCTCTTCTTGAGCCATATAAGACAGTAAATATCTCGGGAAGAAGAAAAATGTCACCTCCTCCTATAGAAGTGGATAATATTCAAGAAATGAGGTGGAAGAAGTCTTGGACTCAAGGTGGTGCCAAAATAGGTTAGAATATCTTGTTCATTGGTACAGATAAGATATTAGTAAATGCACATGGGAGCCATCAAAGAATCTTGCAAATGCAGCAAAGAGATTTTCATCAACACATGTTGGAGGTCTTATAGAATATTACGACGTAGCTCTTAGTTAGAGAGTATATATGGAGGCAAGAATAAAGCCTTCTTCATTCTTGTCAATGTCATTCTAGTCTTTAATCTTGTTTTAAGACTTTTTAGTTTTCTTATTTTTGGAAATAGCCATTCTAATTTAATATTACATCACCTTGTGAGTGACTTTCTAGTTCTCTTCAATGACACAAGAGTGTATTGAGGAATTTTTTCTTTGAGATTCATATCCTTGACATATAAATATTAAAATTAAAGATTTTATTATACTATTTAAGTATTTATTATAATTTAAAAGAATTTATAAGTTATACAAGTCTTATTAGAAGAAAAATTATAAGAATGGAGTCTTAATAAATCTTCGAGGTAATTATCTTAGTTACTTTAGTATTTTTACTTATTGTTATGGATTAAAGATTAGTTATTGAGATCAATATCTTAATTTATCTCTTATATACATGTATTACTTATAAAAATCCTATCAATAATTAGTTAATATTTAAAAGAAAATTTAAAAGAAGTATGAAAGAAAATTTCATATTTTTTTAATTAATTATATAAAAAATAGTATTTTTAGTAGATATAAATTAATTTTATTACTATAAAAAATTAAAAAGAGAGAAATATATAGTCTTAAATAGATATTAGAATTATCAAAATATTATAGGATATTTTAGAATTTATTTAGAATTTATTTAGAATTTATTTAGAATTTTTTAGGAATTTTTAGTGAAGATTTGAAGACTTGGGTAAGAGTGAGTTTTACCACCTTGGAAGCCATTATGAAAAAATGGAATAAGATTGAAGATCCTATAAGGTTCTTAGGCTATTTGGATAATTTTAAATGCAATGGTGAACTAAAAAATACAAAAACACAAGTTCTACTAGTAGAAAATAGGAGGACCAATAGCTAGTCTAGTCTTTATAAAAAAAGAAGTACCTACATCCCATATGGGTTGTAGCACCTTAGATATAGATAGGAAGATAATACTAAGGCCTCAAGGCCTCTTTAGGTACCTCATATACACTACATATGAGCCTTAGTGAGGTTCAAACTCTTAATTTATAAGCAAATTATCCTTGATATAAAATATTTTTACTTAACTTTTTAATTATTCACTTCTTATCTTGAAATTTTTATAACTTATTTAAAATAATTTGGATTTATATATTTCTTATTTCATCACAAAGATAATAAAATTATCTATTTAAAAATATATTTTTTGATATTTAATTTTACTTTTTATTAGATAAAAACTTAGTAAAAAGACTACAGACTACTTTTATTGTATACAATTATTTCATTGTATTTATTTCACTTATTTCGTATTATTCTTTTTTTATTCTTATTTATTACATCTTCTACTTTATACTACCAATTACAAGCAATTCTTAATTGAAGCCATCATGCAATTTGGATTGAGAGAGAAATTTACCTTGACATCATTCTATCATCATTTATTATAATAATACTTGCATTTTTCCTATTTCACCTTCAAGATTCATTATATTGCATTCTTTGGCCAAATTTTTAAGTCTAAAAATAATAAAAGCATTGCTAAGAATAAAGATAGGCTCACTTTTTCAAATGACCATGTATAAGTCTATATAAGTTATTAAATTAGACATTAAAATTTCTTTAATAATAAAAAATATTATATATATATATATATATATATATATATACATATTTTCATTAATACTTCTATAATGATTAAGCTTGGATTTTATATTTAGATTTTAATGTAACTAGATATACACATATTTTAAGTACAATTAGAATATTAATATAATTATAAGTTATTAAATTAAATGTTACTTTTATAAATTTTTTTTATAGTTTATTTTTTAATTATTTTATTAATTCAAATATGAAACCTGAATATGGTACATTAAATTTTATTTATATTCTTAATTTTAATTATTATTTTTGCACAAAAGATAAATATAAAAGAAGATCAAATAACATAATATTAAGATATAGCAAAAATATCTATTAAGTCTATTTTTTTTATGCCCTTATTCTTTTACATCCTCTTCTTACATCCACTTCTACAACTTTTTATAAATAATAAATTTGAACCTATAGAATTTTCTATTATTTTTTTTATCAATTTAAACATGATTTTTTTAGTCTCCACTTTATTAAAATTAGAGGTGTTTATTTGTATTTGTATTTGTATTCATCCATCCATCCAAATTATATTACTATTTATTACAAATGAACAGATTATTTTAATATGTTTCTTCCAAAGCAAGCCAAGATTCTTCTATACCAACATCTATATATACATATATATACATACATATATAATTTAAAATTTTAATTATTACCAAGTTTTCATTACAAGTCTATTACCAATTGACATACTTATACTTTGGAAAGTGCATTTTGACATTTCAACAAAAATAATGTGGAACATATGATTTACAAACAACATCCATAGTTTCAATCAGGCATTTTCATTAAATGAAAAAAGGAAAATAACCATGACAACTTAAAAGATCATAATCAACAGAATGAATGATAAAAGCACATGTAATTTCCAGCAACCTCTCTTTACTTTCAATATCTAATTAAACAATATTTAAATTATAACCTATCACCTGATATATCTCAATAGAAAAGTGCTGATGATCGATGTAAGGTGGTCAATCAACAAACACTCAAGGGCAGCAATTTTGTTCATTTATTTCTGAGAACCACAATACCAAGGATAGAAGCAACAATTTTCATTTCTTTGTATTTTTTTATCTCTTAAAGTTTTAATGTGCAAAGTACATGATTCAACCTTTAGAACTTCTATTGCAAATGCTTTAACATCAACTCCAACAACTTACAACCTAAAACCCATTGTGGCTGTATACTTGAGAACATTCTAACTCATGAAATAAGCCATTTGAATTTGTTTGGTTTTGTTGCACTTTTGTTTTTGTTTTGTTTTTGTTTTTTTTGTTTTTTTTGTTTTTTTTTTTTTGCCTTCAATTTACTTATATTTTGCTTACAGATGTGAATGGATTCTTACTGGACACTATGTGGCAATTGCACTCCTCAAGCCCATGAGTCCCCATGGACAGGTGACAACTTGTACATCTTTTCATTTTCTATTTTATTATTGTTCCTTTATTGTTGCAGCTATTTGAGGGACATTGAATTTCACTGATTTACAATAGTGCTGGCTTGACCCATTTAGAAATGAAATGCCTGGCTTCATTAAAGGAACGAAATACAAACCTTGGAAACTGGCCAAGAGAGGACAACCGGCACTTATTACATGTCGTCTACAATGTTGGCAATATGGAGATATCTACAAAGTATGTTGGCATTTTGAAATGATTTACAATAGCTTTATGTTTTTATTTTTTTTCTTTCATGATCCTTTGAACATCAACAAAATGGTCCTACACAATTTACATCTTATTTCTTTTTAAATATTATGCCTAAGTTGTAAATGTATACTTGTTTAAAAACAACCCTAAAAAATGATAGGGGTTTCACATAGGTCTTAGCAGTTTGAAGTCTCTAGAGTTCAATAATGAAACAGTATCTTAAGAGTGTGTTTAAAAGAAACAGAGTATATATTTAATAGTTCAGTTTCTGATTGGAAGTTGGTTTTATTTTTCCATTTCCTTGTTGGTGATTTATTGTGATGTAGATTGTACAAATTTATTGGATAAAACAATCCAAGGATCTCTTCAAAATAATAATACTAATAATAATAATAATAACAATAATTCTTTTTATGATATGGATAAATAGCACCTTATAGAAGATTTCAAATATCCATAGAATTCAATGAAGAGTAGGAAAATGGTTACATTTTGAAACAACTCAATCCTCCAACCAAGAGAACTCCAGGAATTTGTCAGAAGGAAACTCTAAATGATAGGTTTTATTTTGATTCTGATATTGATGAAATTAATCTAATTTAAAATGTTTAAATCTTTTATCTATGTAATTATTTTAAACGTTGTTTCTACAGTAACTCCCACTCAAGGATAAAAATAAAAATAAAATCTCAATTATTATTCAGGTGGTACCAAGAGTGTTTGGGAATGAGCATCCTCCGCAAAAGGGACTTTCCCGATGAGAAGTACACAAATGTGTTTGTTGGGTATGGCATGGAAGACAACCATTTCACAGCCGAACTAGTTTATCATAAGTAGGCCCCTCCCGAATAAACCCTCCTTCCACCTCTCTACAATATACACATACACACTCTCACAATCCATCAAAAAATACATCATAAAATTCCTCCACATCTAATACAATTGTCAAAGGAATTAATCCTCTCTCCTTGATTGGTACTCACATCAACGTAGATTATGGTGTAACTAAGTTTGACAACGGAGATGCGTTTGGCCATTTTGGAATTGCAGTGCCAAATGTGAGAGCTTTGTGATCTTTCTCTCATTTTCTCACATTCTCATCTCTTCATTTGGCCTTTTTAAAGATTTTCTATGGCTTGTGTGTGAAAAAATATTTTTTAAAAAAATTAATATGCATATATATGTATCTATATATATATATATATATATATATATATATATGTATGAGGTAGCATTTTGGTGAGAGTGGAATTTGGTTGGGTTCTCAATAGCTTCAAAAGACTCTTGACTCTATAAAGAAGTTGGGGTATGCGGCTCCGAGCTCCCCTTCCGAGGAGCATTGCGATGTCTTTGCAATTGTTGTCGATCCCAATGGATACAAATTCAAGCTCATCCAAAGGGACTCTTCAAGGGAGCCATTTTGCCAAGTGAGCCTCCACGTTGGAGACATTAATCATTCTATCCTTTACTACCAAGATGTAGGGGCCCCTCCATTCTATTCTCTACAAAATCAAATGTATCAATCCATTGCCTACTTGGCCCATGTCTATGCTTGAAAAAATATTTATGTATATATATATATATATATAGTGCTTGATAGTTTATAATTTAAAATTTTCGTTTTGATTTTTATTTATTTTATTTCTCAATTTCTTTTTTAAAGTGGTGGTTTACTTTTTCCAAAAGTTATAGTCATAAAAGTTGGTTCTTTCTATAAAAAGAACTTGATGCTATTTTTTATTTTTTTTATTTTTTAATTGCTTTGAAGTTGAATTTCCTTTTATTTTTATTCTTGTGAATGCTTTTGGATTCTTGAAGTTGAAATGCTGGTGTCTTATTGGAGTAGGCATATGGAATGAAGCTAATTGCCAGAAAAGACTTCCCAGCACAAAAAGTAAGTCTTCTTCCAAGTTTTCGAACAGATGTGTAAAAATGGTTATGAATGCTGTCGGTGACATTTTGATTTATACATAAAGTTTTTTGCCTTTGAAATTAAATCCTTGTGACTTTGATTATGAGTTCTATTTCAGTTTTTCATTGATTAATCTCTTTTTGAAATAGAAAGCATTTGCTTATTTATCCTATGATATGGACAAGAGAAGATCCACAGTCCTTGAATTTGAATACAACTATGACAAAACAAACTATTCTAAGGGTAATGGATATGCTCAGGTGTGATAAATTTTCACATTTCTTATAACAAGATTGTAAATATATATATATATATATATATCTTGAAATATAACAAACATTCCCATGCCATACTATGCTTAAGTATTTTGCTTTTCCTTATTGTGGGTAGCTTTTATTATATATATATATATGTATATAAAAGAATGAAACTATCTTTCCATAGTCATTTTTTATTGGTCCATTGTAGCTAGCCATAGGGACAGAGGATATATACAAAACTTATGAGGCTTGTGAAATCATTGACGGTGGCCAAACTGTTACAATTCCAACTACTTCACCAAACACAAACACCAAAATTTATGCAGTTATTGATCCTGATGGTTGGAGAACAGTAGAGTTTCTATCTCACACAGCTTTGATATAGCAATTAAATTATATAGTATAGTACTTTCTTATAATAATTTTATCCATGATTATTGATTTTTTTTGTTTTTTTGTTTTTTTTATATGTATACAGTATCTCTCATTATTTTTATTGATCTGAAGGATTTGTATCATGATTTGTGGAATTGATGTTGCCAACAATTGTATTGGATAGGTATGGGTTGACAATAGTGACTTCACCAAGGAACTTGAGCCTGTTTCATTTGCACATGAGTTCAAATGCACCACACAAAACAAAAAACAACAATTATAGGTTATTGATCCCAACCTACAAAAAAAAAAAAAAAAAAAAAAAAAAACTGTCATGCAGTGAGTTCCTTAATCAAATCCACGTGACAACATAAAATAAACTTAATTAAATTCATATGATTAAGTTTATTTTATCTAAATTTGTCTTTACAACCTTGAATATGAGTTGAAAGGTGTGTTCAACAATCAAGCATATGAGTTATACAAAATACAATAGTATTAAGGTTTTCAAATTTTGTTTTTATTTCACATGTGAAAAACTTGTTTTAAAGTGAATATTAATGGTAATAAAATGTCAAATTTGCATCAAAAAATTGAAATATTGTTAGTATGTGCTAAATCTCTCTGTCTGAATTTTAATTTAACTCAAAGTTTTTCTGGGGTTTGTTTTTTGTTTGTTTTTTTTTATGTTTTTTTGTTTTTTGTTTTTTTTTGTTCTTTTTTGTTTTGTTTTGTTTTTTTCTATTAATCCAAAAAAAACGTGTCTAATGTCTACTTTTGAATAATTTATGTATTTTGAGCTTTGGATTGGTGATCAATAGAACTATTAAACCTTAACTTTCTTAAAATCCTAACAAAATTTACTTTAAATTTTATTTAAAGCAAAACATAAGCTGTTCTAAAATAATTATTTTAGAATGTCTAAAACCTTGAAAAATTATATATTTAATTCAAGTGTAAAATTTTGCGTTCTACAAACAGTACATACAAATGTTGAAATTTTTTAATATGATAAACACGCATTATTTACATAATCCACAATGTGAAGTCAAACTTTAAAAACTGCTTAGTAGTGGGAGAATCGAAGTCCTTTTGAGATGCGATAATACGTTCATTGAAAAAAAATCTAAACACGTTGAATAAAATTGAATTAAACATATATTTATTGCATCTTACAACTTGTCGCAACGATGAATACAAAACCAGATTGAAACAAAAATAAAAACACTTCAACTTTCAGAGGCTTTGTTTTTATTACCCTAACCTCAAAATTCACAGCACCATTTCGAAGGTTTTATGATTCCAGTCCTACAGAAAAAGAATGAGGGAAATCCAATTCTAATGCACCTTATTTGCATAACCAATGATCGTTGTTTATTACAGAGAGCGAAACTGCACACTCCGCATCAGGTTCATGTGATTGGATTTGTTTCCGACAACCACATTGCAACCGTGATCTGCAAACCATGAAGAAAACGAAATCCCAAACACAACGGCCTTCTCACATGTTGTAACATCAAGTCGATGCCGCTCGACTTGATGCACTCAGATTAATCCCGTAGCCTCCATCGCCCATGGATTACATTTATTTTTGCTGTCGTTTCTGATGGTGCTCATGGATCACCACCTGGGCCGACGAGATGCGCTGGCATCGGCACTGGGCTGGGGGCGATGCAAAGATTCGTTTTCATGCAACTCTGGAACAACTGCTCGGGATAGTTTCCAGCCAAAGTGACGAACGTGAACATCAACAGCGCACAGTTTGTTGTTTAATTATTGATATACTCCGCGCATGGGCACGCGAAAGTTACGAACGCGTCGCAGCATCGCGTCACGTTAGGACTGATGGAATCGCAGACCAGAGTCATGGCGCTGCAATCCTGCGCGGAGAAGTCGATGGGGCAAACTGCACAATCGAAGTTTCTCAGAGCCTCCCTCCTTTTTTTTTTCCTCTCTACTTACGGCGGTCACTCGATTGAAGGGTACAACACTCACCTGTTACTATTTGGAGGAGTTTTCTGGACGGAGATCCCCGCAACATTGCTCCTGCTTCGGTTCCTCCATCACCTGCGTGGACAATCAATTCAGCCATGGACGATGATTAAATGCGGGCAGGAATGAACCCAGTGAACATTAATCCGCTAACTTTTGCACAAATAATGACATCTGTAGTGCATAAGTACACAAGTGTCAATTATCCAGTTCTCGCTCGACATCCTCCACTACCACAGAACCCAGATATGTAGAGAGTGGGAAATTCGCTTTGAACTTCGATCCAGTCCCACGAGGGCTCTATCAGCCGAGACTCACCTCTAACAACGGAGACAACGCAAAGCGATGCCACGATGAGAAGCAAACATCACATCTGCGAAGAGCTCAAGAAAATGAGAGCCATGGCGAATGGCGAGCAGGGGTCGAGACTCACACACCCAGTGTACCGAATTGTGTTGTGCTGAGCTGATTCAACCCCGAGTCCCACACAAATAAATAAACAAGCAAGGCAAGGAGAAGACCAGACCCAGTGGCGACTGGGTCTGACTGCTGCTCACCATGGAAGTTCCGGAGACCACTTTTCTGGACTTTGCACACTTTGTATGATAAAATGCTGATGTACTTGTTGATGTACGTGTTGGTGTTAGTTTCAAACTGAAGCTCTATCTAAGTTGGCAACGATTTTCTATCCGGTCTAGAGCTCATCGAATGGCATGAGCTTCAGCAGCATCGGTATCGTATCACACGATCCAACATGGAACTCGCCCTGACTTGCAACTAGTAGGCAACCAGCTTGGATAGGGAGCTTCGAGGTCAGACACAAAAATACACGAAGCAGCGCATGGGGTTCATCAATCTCTTCTTCGTGTCGTAGAAACTCCATGACATCGCCTGCACCCTCTCTTTTGTGCAGCGCACTTCATTGATCGATCCGTGGCTTCGACGCAATACCGAATCTAGGTTTTGTTTCTTTGTTATTTGTTTTATTTGTTTTGTTTTTGCCTTGTCTTGGAGGATTCAGTGTAGAATCAACAACTGGGTCTTTCGTTTTTCCTTTTGTTTGACACCATCTTTTGGTGTTTGCTTTATCCTTCCATATCTTCCTTGTTTTTACACTGTTGTAAATGAAATAGAGGAAGGGGGGCCGGGATGCTGTAAGAATGGGGTAAGAACAATCTTGTAAAACCTTGTATCCCATTCTTGTATTTTATTTATATAAAATCCTTCAAAAGACCCAATCTTGTATCCCATTCTTGAATTTTATTTATGTAAAATCCTTCAAAATACCCAATCTTGTATTCCATTCTTGAATTTTATTTTTATACAATTCTTCAAACTATCCAATCTTGTATCCTATTTAAGCCTAACAAAGAATGGGATACAAGATTGGATATTTTGAAGGATTTCATATAAAGTGAAACTTAAAGATTGGAATAATGAGTAACCATTTTGTTATAGAAAAGGGCAACCAAAGGTGTGGTTTGTATCTAAGTCAAATACTATACAAATTTCCATATTAATAAAAATAATTAGAATGTGTATTGATATGATAGACTTATTAAGCAAATATTTGTCATGGACATATATATTTATTGTGTCATTGATAATTTTGTAGGCTCCATATTTTATACTATATTCAAATAAATATAATATAATATGTGTTATAAAAAAATTATTTAACATATTTAATATTTTAATAATTACATACATTAATTTTTTTGTATAACCATCAAATAAACTCACTATCTATTTATTATTTGGTATATATATATATATATATATATATATATATATAAACTCAAACTAAAAAATTCAAATAATTTAAACATGGATTTAGATATTATCTCAAATGATTGGTATTTCTGCATTTTATGATAAAAAATAAAAAGTACATTAAGTTGGTTTACAAATTTTCATGTAAACTCCTAGTGGTATTTGATGGTAGTAAATATACTATTGATTAAAAATCAAAAATAATCTTTTGAAAAAATACTGGAATAATAATATTAATTACAATAAAAAAATTTACATTAATTAAATCAAAAAACGAAAAAATAGTTTCAAAAATGATGATTTATTATTGAAGTAACAAGTTTTAAATTTTTTTATATTAAAATGTATATATATATATATATATATATATATACATATACATATACATATGTATATATAGCACATTATAGGAACAAAATTTCAAATACAATGGATTTTAAAAAATCCTTAGCAATGTCTTTAAAGACTCTAAACGACCACTTATTTCAAATCTATTGTGGTTTTTCTTGTTGTGTATTGTAATGGAATTTATATATATATATATATACATATATACAAATTATGATATTAAATCAATTTCTTCAAAAGTAAATTTTTGTGTTAACACAAAAATAAAAATAAAAACTACAAATATTTACCAAAAAATATATTAGTATAATATATTTCAGATATAATTTTTTTTAAATAGATTCTTATTAATTTCCATATTTATTACAAACTATTATCAAAAAAATTGTTAAGACTAAGGCCTTGAGGCCTCTCTTAATAATCCATATATACTATATGTGAATATTGGTGAGGCTTGAACCCTTGATCTATAAACAAGTTATCCTTGAGATACATTATTTTCACTTAACTTTTCAATTATTCACTTCTTATCTTTAAATTTTTATATCTTATTCATAGTAATTTGGATTTATATTTTTCTTATATCATTAAAAAGGTAATAAAATTATCTATGTAAAAAAATATTTTTAATGTTTATTTTATTTTAGATTACGTAAAAAACTTAGTAAATAAATTATAGACTATTCTTATTGTATGCAATTATTTGATTGCAATTATTTCACTTATTTTATATATATATATATATATATATATTTTTTTTTTTTTATTGCATCTTCCACTTTATACCACCAATTACATACAACTATTAATTGAGGCCATCTTATAATTTGGATTGAGGGAGAAATTTACTTTCACAGTTTTTGCTAATATTATCTTATAGTATATAGTCTCAATTCTATGTGTTTGTATTAAAGTGTGTCACTTCTTTATGTATGTATGTATATTAATCTATGTTTGTGCTTTATATATCTATATATAAATGTATGTGTATGTCTATATATATATATATATATATATAGATATATATGTTACTATATATATATAATATCTAATCATTGCTTCTCTTCTCTTTTTATAATTTTTTAATATTAGATTATGTCACTGACATCTCTTTTCCTTGCACAATGCACAAACATCTCAATTTTTGGATCTTTAGTCAATGTAATCCACAATTTTTAAAAGTATACAAAAATAATAGTTTTGTTACATCAATTATTTATTTTTGTCTTTTTGCTTCAATACAAAAGATAGTGATTTGGTTTTGTGAAGTAATAAAAGTTCTATTTCATAGCTTATGATAAAAATATAGTAAAATTGACTAATAATATTATTTTTAATAATTAAGACAACAATGCAGTAAGAAGCTTCTTAAGTACAAAGCTTTAAAAAATGAAAGATATGTTTTAGTTATATTTGATGTTATTGTTTAAAAAAAGTTAAGACTAGCCAAAAAATAAAGCTGGTGATATAGATTAATAACTTATTTGTGGTTATCAATC